CCGATCTGGCCGGGCTGGCGGCGACGCCCCGCGGGTGGCGGCGGCGGTGGTGGTGGTGGTGCGGGGCCGCCGCGCACAAAAGGGCCCTTTGGGCGGGGAAGGAGGAGAAGGAGGAGGAGGAGGAGGAGGAGGAGGAGTGCGGGGAGCCGGGGCTGAGTCAGTGTGTGCAGATGGAGCCGGCCGATAAGGCGGACCCGCGGGAGAAGTCACTTGGGGGGGAAAAAACGCGGCCGCCCCGCGGCTGCTGGAAAATTCTCTCCCGGGAGCGAAGGGGGGCACGGCGGGGTGGAGAAGGGGGGGTTCCTTTCCCCCCTCACATCGCCCTCCCCATCCGCCCCGCATTGTGTGCCCGCCAAGGCAGCGAAAACGCCAGTTACTTTTCGCTCGCTCTCCTGCCTGAGAAGTTTTGCTTTTGGCGTTAGAAACCGAGCGTGTAAACGAAACGCATCGCCGGTTTCTCTTCTAAAGTAAAAGAGCGAAGCGTGTGTTGGCTCTGCCCTTATCTGGCCAAGATGCCATATGGTATCTCCACATGTTTTGCATTCACATATCGCAGTATGATGCAATATTTTACATCTTCTGGGGCTCTAGTGATGCAGCATCTTCTTTTTACCTCAGAGTAACAGTCCTGAGCTTTTCTGTCCCTGCCTAAGCTTACTCTGAAAAAAGCCTCTCCGGAAAAAAAAAAAAAAAAGTATTTTAAAATTTCAGATGAAGTTTCTTTATGTTGCAGTGAGAAAGTACTGGAAAGCCTTCAGCTGAGATCTTGGGAGTTGCTTAGTGTAAAAGCCACGCTGACAAACATGAAATTTTCCAGCAGACTAGGTAGAGCTTTGCAAATAAGTTATTCAATATAGATTTTGTTTATTAAATGATACTCTAAAAATACCGAATTTGCCATGTTTTGGAGTCTTTTTAGTAGTCTCGAGAGGCAGTAATGGGACCCGGGGAGAGCACTGCAGTGGAGGATTCCAGACCTGATTTTAGTCAGAATTTAGGTTCTTAGTGTAGAGGTTAGAACTTTACTAGTACAGCAATTAAGTTACAGATCACTTTGAATTATTTATAGCAGTGCTTCTATAATATACCATCCCAACTTATCTTCTTCTGTCCTAAAGTTTGTTGGCCGATTTTTCTTATTTTTAAAGAAATTAGAACAGTGATTGATGGCAGGAGGATTTGGGGGCAGGGGGAATAAGCTCTGTGGGTCTGTTTCAAGAAGATATCTCACGCATGAGGAGTAGTGTGCAAAAAAGTGTAAAACTAGTAGTGAGAAAGATGTATTGCTTCTGATTAAATCAGTGTTGCGCCTGTAAAGGTGTTGGACTGTAAGAAAGGGAAAAAGCAGGGAATTTTTCCATCCCTTTCAGTTGAAACTTCCTTGTTGGCATGGATGTAAGAAGGCGATATTTGGGATTATCTGGGAGTAGGATCTCCCTCAAGGAAGCCTTTTTCCAGTGTTATGAATGACTGCTGCAGTCTGTGTACTGTCTGCCTTTAGGATAGGGTTCAGGTTAAAGAAGGGGTTATTCTTGTCTGCCTTCATGATCTTCGGGTAAAGGTTATTTCCCTGTAAAGTCCCACAGAGGAATAACAGCCCCCACCCCAGCAGACAGACAGAGTTGTTTCATTGGGTGTTGCCACCTTGTCCCACACTTTATTGAAGCTGCTAAGAATGATCAGAACAGTGTTTTTGTAAAGCTAACAGAAGTCTTGTTTGTTACCTGCCTTATTAAAATGATCACTTCATAAAATGCGAGCAGAATATTTATCCAATTAAAAAAACTAATAGTGTCTGTCCAGAAGAGCACAACATTTTTTGATTCAGTCTTTCCCCCGCCCCGTAAATGGGAAACTCAGTGTCTGCTTTTGTCTGTTGCACAGTTTTCAATCCAGAAAAAGTCTGAAATGACAGAGTGAATTTTGGAACAAGATTTTGCCAGGGGTCTTGGTTCTACCCGTGCACTGTTAGTCAGTGAAGCTCTTAAGATAGAGGGTAGTGGAAAGACTTCTTGACCAAAAAAGAAATCTCTGCCAAATGCCTGCGGCTGAAGGGCGGTAACTGTATGACCTGCGTACAAAGGATTGTAGCAGCCAGACTGAGATGAAACAAAGGTAAGGGATTAAAGCTTGAGAAACAAACCTGCGAAGCGAGGAGAAACTGTTTGGCTTCGTGCCCAAAATGTTGGGTTTGAATCTTATTAAATTGCGATCAGTAACAAAATAGGATGGGCACAGCGTGGGGAGGAGCGCACACATGGTTGGGTTTCAGTTATGAATAACTATATAGGGCTGTTTGTCACCAGCAAATTGCTTTGATTTATTGAAGACAACAGTGTATCGGTCTGCTGTAACTTGTAGTTTTGTGGTCTGTGACAGCGTATGTGCAGAATTAGGATTCTTTGGTAAGAAAATGGGTTACAGCACTGAAACTGAGGTGAATAATGTGTTTCTTGGTCTCACATAATGAGTCGCTTCAGCAGCTTTGTCATTACCGTGCTGGTGGGCTGCCTGCGGTCTCATTTAAACTAAGTGTAAATATTTTTCAAGTCTTTCCTCTGAGAGCTGATTAGGAGAAACTAGGGATGTATCTGATTTCGTTTAGTTTCCTCGTATGTTCGCATGTTTTATTAATGAGGGAGGCCCACTTCCATTGTCTAACAAGAATATTTTGCTATGCCCTAGTGGCATTTCAGAGTAAGTGAAGGCTGCATTGTAAGGAACGTGCTTGCAGAAACTCCAGCGTTGTGATCTGAATACAGCTCATACAGGCCACTTGCAATAACTGCAATTGAGTTGATTGTGTGTGGATTTTTATTGTAAATAAACAGTGTGGTGGGCTGGCTTGGTCAGATACTCCACTCATCTGTGGAAACCATGGGGCAGAGCTTAGAAAACTACTTGTGCAGTTTCTGACAGTATATGAAGGAGATGGGGATGCAGAGCTCAGCCCTTGATGTTCTAGAGGACACTGAGTGATTGCATTCCTCTTGTAATAGCAAGGTGAAGACAGATGATCAACAAGGTTGGTGTTAAAGAAAAAAAACCCAACAAACTCAGCAAACAAGAATTTCATAGTCGTAGATCTGTTGGCATGAGACGGGTTATAGTAGATGTAGGTAACTATTAAGGAAGGTGCTCTCTTCTTCAGCTGTGTAACGTGTGGATACTTGCAAATTAATTAGACCTTGGATTTCTGGCAGCTTTCAAATAAGATGTCATTGCGAAATTGGGCACCTGTTTTGAAAATCAGATAGTGTCTACTATCTGTTTACCTGGGAATTGTACTGTCAGGAGAAAAAAAAAAGCTGTGATTTCATGTTTAATAAATACCCTACTGTAAAACGCCCCCAATGAGTGTAGCAGAAGCTTGTCTACAGTTTCGTATATCTGAATTAAACAGAAATTTGGCAGGTGAACTGTTTGTCTTCCGGGATCTAGGTCCGTTTTGTTCAGTTGAATGCTGGAGCCGGTGGCAGGAAAGGGATGTGTGTGCATCTGCATCTCCAGCAGCAGACTTGCTACCAGCTCAGGGCTGGGTGAGAGGAGGAGGAGGAGGAGGAGTGTGATTTGTCTGAATCGCACGCGTTCAGGTCTGCCTTTGTCTTGCGGTTTTTGTTGCCTGTGAGTATCCTTATGTATGCTCTGATGTGTCATTCTGGAGAAGTAGAGCTGCTGTATATTGGTTTATAACAAGCCGTCCCATAGTCTTATTTGTCATCATTGGGTGTTTTCTTTTTCCTTTTGACAACTGCAATATATCTATGAAATTAAAGGGAACATCAGTACAAGGAAATAACAAGACTAGAGACATGCAGTGTGGCTTCTCAGAGATAGGCTTGTCAGGGGCAGGCTTGTCACTCGATAATCTTATTAGATAAGTCTCCTCCTTACGTACAAGATCATCCTTTGGACGTTTTGATGTAATAACCTCAGCACCCGAGAACTTTCTCAGTTTGCCTTTGATACCTTTTTGGTATAGATATCAAAATTTCATGGGTGGCTTATTTCTTGTGAGAAAGTGCTGGAGTATTGTAAAGGATCCCTTTATAAAGTGAGGCATAACCATGGTGGTAGATCTGTGCTTAGTTGGTATAAATCAGGCCTTTTCCTCCTTTGGCCAGCAAAGTATATTGCTTTAAATTCTGCTTGGGAAGGTTGTTATAGCTGGAAACCTTGGCTTTTTGATTTGCATCTGATTGCTAATACAGAAACTGGTGCACTTTGTACATTATTGCTTACAAATACTTGCTTATCTCAAGTGTAAATGTTACTTTTTTTTTTTTTTGCAAAATGTTGGAAAGTAAGCTTAACTCTTAGAAATCATTTTCAAAGGGATTACACAGATGAGTTAACTTTTCTTCAGTCAGAAATTGCTCCTGAAGACACTTCAGCATTAATGGTTTTTATTCCCTGGCATTTAGCTTCCCCTTTCCAATGATTAACATTGAGACAGGGCACTTAGATTATCAAGTTTTACT